CCTGCTGCTGCTGTCTGCGCTCCCTGGTTCATCCCTTGCCGTGTTGGAGTCGTCGATGGAGCCTGTTTCCCACCTGTGACTCTGCCCGCCTCGGGGGACAGTGGTGGAGTCACCCCAGCTCATCACCAGTCATTGCCAATGTTTTATTTCTGAGTGTGTTTCAGACTTTTTCACAGCACAAGTTTATGCTTTGTCCATCTATATAGCAATTTCGTGCTAAATTATCACTTTGTTATCTCTGTTGAGGGTTTAGCATCCTGGTGTGATTAGCTGGAATAAGAATTGGGTTCAGAGAAGCAATTTATCGTTTAAAAAATAACCCGGAGCTGCAGTTTGTGGGGATGTGAAGTAGGCTTGTAAGGGCAGCAAGGATAAAGGCTTAGATTCTTAAGCACAGGCTGCCGCAGTGGGAGGACCAGCCAGCTCCCTGCAGCACTTGAGCAAGGCGTCTCGTGTGGCTGTTGAGAAATACATCGCCGCAAGCTTCCACAGCCCTGTAGGAAGCTGTAAGCTGTCTGTGTCGAGACTCTTCTCTCTGAGTTGCAGGCAGTGGCACTGCGGGTGTTAAGTCAAATCTGTTTCAGTAACTCAGTTATCATGTCTGGTAAGTCAACGTAAGTCACGTATGTTTTGACGAGATGGTCAAAACTCAATGAGTGCTCTTTTATGCTCGCTAAGGATCAGTCCCTTTTCTCCCAACAGCTGGCATAGCAAATCTTGGCTTTTAGCTGAAAGGACAGAAATGTTAAGTTCTTTCACCTATTCCTCTTACTGTTGGGCCAGTTTCTGTACTCCCAGCTCTGTGGCCATATCCTTACTCAGTCCACCTCTGCCCCTCCTGCCAGCACCGTGCGTGAGCTGGCGATGTGAAACTGTGTACCCTAATGTGATGCAAAGTTGGAACAGAGAGATGTGCCTTCACGAAATGCTTACCGATGGTATTTGGCTGAAGCTGGGTATAGAGATTATGCAGGGAAAAAGGTGGATTTGATGAAATATAGTTGAAGAAACTGTTTTGTCTTACAGTCCTGTTATTCAAAGCAGGAGGGCTCAGACCTTAGTAGGACCTTTTTTGGGCTTTGTCATCAAGTTTCAAGATTGCTCGGCCTCATCAGAGTCTGAGGTGTCCTTGCCACATATGTTTGACTTGCCCTCGTAGAGGGCTTTTGGAGAGATCTTTGGATGGCAGCCGTCTGATGCTTGTGTTAGGTCATCTTTTCCTTCTGTATTCATACAGACCCTAGTGAAATGAGGCTTTCAAGCTCCTAAACGCCCAAGAAGACAGATAATAAAGAAACTCTACCCCAATGGTAACTGGTGTTTTTCTATGCAGTAGGATGCCTCTTCACATTGTGTCAGAGCATAGGTGAAGTTATTTTCAT